GGGTTGTGGGGATGAGGCCCTTGCCCTCAACTTGTAGAAAAGGTGCTTTGCCAGGAAGGGGGTCCCCCCTAGCAAGGCACTCCCCCGTATTGAGGACATTTGGCAAGATATGATTCAGGAGGGAGGGGTGCACAGTGCACGTTAGTTCGCCCTTTCCTGGTCACCCAGGCTGTATGCTCAGATTAAGAGTCTAGTATGGATTTTTCATGGGACTTTTTTTTGCGTGAATTCCACCTTAAAATTTTTACCAGTCCCGAAGAGTCTGGTATGAATTTCCTGGGGAATTTCACACTTGTTTTTGCTTTTTTCAGGTGAGGCACCCCCTTAAAATCTAGACCAGACTCAAAGGGTGCACTTTGGGGAAACTACAGTATGCAGTTGTTTTTTCATTCGTGCTACAGCAAGAATGACATTTACAAACAAAATAAATCACACTGTTTAAATTACTGCCAAATTAAATCTTCATTGTTGGCTTCTTTTTAATAAAAAAATAGCATACTTCTCCAGGCTAAATGGAATTTGAAAAAGTTTTTTTTGCCTTGAAGCATGTTCCCCAGGGCAGTGTCCACTCGCCCCCACCCCCCATGCTATATTCCCACACCCCCTTGCCTATTAGCCCAAAAAATGTGCAATTTTAATTTGACAGATTTGGCTTCCATTGATTTCATTGAGGTTCAGGTTCGGCATTCAAACTTCTCTGATGTTCACAGAACCCACCTTGAACTGAACTGAACTGAAGAGCTGTTTGACTTACTACCATTGATGACAGCACAGGCAGAAAACACTTTGTAACATATTTGTATATTCAACAGACCAAAATGACCAAATAAGAGTACCTAGTTGTTAGGGTGTACATACACTTTAACCCCTTGATGCCGACGTCACACAAATATACAGCCTCACAGAACTGGGCCTTTTTCCGTGTGGCCGCATATTTGCAAACCTGTCTTTCAGCACAAAGACCAGGGTGTCACTGAGAGCCCCTGGTCCCGTTCTAACGATCAGGACCCGGGACTCCCGATTCCGGGTCACATGATCGCTGTGATAGCCTCTGATTGGCTGTCACAGTGATCAGTCACTGTTTAGACTGCCCCCCTTGTTTTTTTTTTTCCTCTATGAATGGAGGAGAGAGATACATTGTATCTCTCTAACTCCTGGCATAGAGGAGAAAAAAATGTTTGTTAAAAAAAAAAGCAAAATTTTTAACTATTTTGGGCCAGTTTTCCTTTGATAATAAAAATCAGGAGATATCCATTACCATTTACCACCAAATGAAAGCCAAATTTGTCCTGAAAAAAACAAGGTATAAATCACCTGGATGTACAAAGTAGTTGTGATGATATGGACTGTTTTACTAACACATGTCAATGTTGCAAAATTGTGCTTAGGCATTTAGATTTGTTTTACCCTTAAGGTGGGAATACACGATTAGAAAATCGACCGATAGGTCATCTGACGACTGAGAGGCATTTGTTCGTTGGTCGAAATTGGTCGAAATTGTGGCCCACATTAACCAATCTAAAAAAATCGTTGATCAGGCAATACATAGTGTTGACATCTTCCATACAAGTGAAAGTGATGCAGTGTGCATGTGACCTTGTAACCACGCCCTGATGGCCAGAATGAGCGATATACACAACAATTAACAGCAATGAGTATAATATAGTTTATTACATTATCTATATACATAAATATTGATACATAAAAATAGAATATGCAGAATTCTGGTTTCATTATCTTATGAGGCCAATCTACTTTTAATATTTGGATTTTTCGTTCGTGTTTACGAAGATTCCTTGGACACAAACATCTGGGTCATCTTCTGTTTCCGCTCTTGCGTGACAGCGCTTGATATATTTTTTTCATATGACCATCATGCCACCGCATAGAAAATCGGTTGTATACGGAATGACAACATTTTTCACTGTTGTTCAACCGGATTATTGTTATCGGTTAAAACATCCTGCTCATCAATGAAGAGAAAATCGTTCGATCAGTGGTTCCGCGAAATTTTCTTATCGTGTGTACGGGGCATAAGGCGTGAAGGGGTTCAGCTATATGTTTAATATTGTGGGAGTATATAGGGTGCCTGGAAAAACTCATACAAACATTCTGTGGGAACTCGCTTCAAATGGTAGAGCTTGGTTAAACGCACACAGCAACTCGCTTTCTTTTTTAAGGCCTTTTTAGCCCACTTTTATTTAAATGAAAGTTCAAAACATCAGAAGTTTCCCACACAGGGGTATCTATCATCCACATAAACAAAATTCTGCCTCCTGGCTCTCTCAGATATACACAAACTTCCACTGGCCTTCCTCTTAAGGCTTACGTCTGTCTCCTGCAGACTCTTTCAAAAACATGGCTCTCGCACACAGCTGGCCACTAGCACACAGCTACTCCCAAGCAGCTCCTTGCCGCTTTTGGCTTCCACCTCTCCTTGGTGGAGCCCTCCTGACTCCAGTCTTCCAGGTGGAGCCCTCCTGACTCCTATCTGCCGGGGTGGAGCCATCCTGACTCCTATCTGCCGGGTGGAGCCCAGAACCCTGATTCTGACTCTATGAAAAGGCCTGCACACACCTGTGCAATCAGTCTCCTGGCCATTCCCAAAATCTGGTCCCAGGATTGGAGATTTCATCCCTCCCAGATCTCTTTGAAATCTCCAGGCTCCAGATCCCAAAACAGACCTTACAAACAAAGGAGGAAAGTGAAAAGCCACTTTCCTCCGTATTAAACACTTACCCTGGAGCACCTCATCCTGCCTTGTTGAGAATCCTGGGTGACAGATTGCCACACTGTCACAATTCGTAGAGCAAGCGATCTCTGGAACAGCAGCACTAGAGTTTACTCTTGGCAGGCTGCAGTTGCAGACCATGTGAGAGTAAATCCAAAAGTAAACATGTCATGAACAAGGACAATTAAATTGAATATATGTTGAACAAATGCATGAAGAACAGTTACTTTCCATGAAAGCTGCATGACCAGAAGATCCAGAAATATAGGCAGTTGAAGTTATATGTGCACTTCAAATTTCTGTTTTCTCTATCCTCCCTGTTGGTCAATGATGCTCTCCATAGAGAAGCTGTGGAAGTGAGCGGGGTCAAGTTCAAATTTTACTAGAAAAATCCTAAAATGCATGTAGCTACTGCAGGTGAAAAGATTACTTGTTTTGAAAAGCAAGTAAAAGTAACTCCTGCATTATGTCATCCTGTATTTTGTCTGGATCACATGTATAACATGCCCACTGGTAAGGTATTCATAAACAGGTATATTTACAGATTATTCACTTCAAATAAAGATTCATCAGTCATGCCATGTTCTGCAGTATGTACAACTTGGCACCTGCATTGATGCAAACAAGTCCCTTTGTGTACAATTTTTGGAATTAGGCAAATGAGAGGTCTACAGATGAGTAGCAGGATAAATCAATTCATCTTTACACAACGCATTTCTTTTTTCTTGGTTGTTTTGCAGCCTGAAGGCAATCTTACTTCAAATATGTTATGTGTTTATTTGTGTCAATTACAAGGGAATAGATATTGTGGTAGCAGTTCTACATAACCTTTCAGTGCATGTTGTACTTACAGTGCTGAGTGAACTGTTGGCGCTTTATAAATACTGTATAATAACATAATAATAATAATGCTGTGAGTCGACCAGCGACATAGTTTAAGTCCATCAAAGGCAAATATTTTTTTAGTTGCTGGTGTCAGAAGTTCTTTATATAGCCCTACAGAGCAGACAGTGCACAGTCTACACGTACTATTCTGTTTCATTACAAAAAGGAAAGAGGAACTTTATTTGAAGTAAAGACAGAGTATACATACCATAGATGCAGCTACAAACTTATAAACACTGCCATCTACTGGTTGAAGAATATATCTCTACTGATGTAGTTGTTGCACAAAATACATGAACACTGTATTCCAACAGTGGGTGGGTATTGATTGAGTATATACATTTCCCATGCTAATAAAGTGTCCCTGTTGTTGAGTGGTATTCAATGCAATAGCATACACTAATAAATTGGATGTTAACTTTTTGTAACTTATGTAGATACTTAGATACACTCTTCAGTACCATGTTAAACCTCTTGGTTTGGCCAAGGCTTAATGATATATTTCATGTGTCTATAAATTAGGCTTTTTCTCATACTGTAGACCTTAGGACCCATGTACATAGGGTGTATAGCCCCTGTCAGTGCAATCCTGACATTTTAGTGTGCCCAGGTGGCACAGTTGCAGTATCCAACCCCGCTTCATGCAGCCTGTCAAAGTCTATGGTAAGCTGGAATTCACTTTGGTTGGACGGGGCTGAAGAGTGTACCGAGTGGTACTTGCATTTAGGTCCCTAAGTGTTCTGGAACATATGCCTGAAATGCTGGTGTTTTACAGGTAATTACCACTTTAATATATTTGTAACTGGTATATGACTACTGTCCGGGGACTGTAGAATATGATCACCATCCTTTAAAAATGGTACTCCTCAAATTCCTAAATTAAAGTGACCCTAAACAATATCCTTATTCTCCAGAAATAATCCATACACATCCACTAACTAAAGACCCTATAATCTTTTTTTATGAAATTTTTTCCTTTTGGGGTTTTTCTCTGCCTCCTTGAATGTCATCTGTGAACTTCCAAATCTGTATTCCCTCACCCCCCTCACTTCTGTTTATCTGAAACAAGCAGTGTATGATAGTGGTCATGTGCACAGCTCTATGTACACTATCCTCCCATAGATCATAGCTAGTCCATTTTGGGAGGGAGCAAGAGATGGTATCTATATTCCTACATACAATGGGACCCTTTCTAATAAGAATTTGGCCAGAGCCGATGAAGAGGAGGTGTGTGGCGGAGAAGGAAGACAGCTGATCGGTAAGGTAAGTGTCTGTGCCGTGTGGTGGGGATCTGGACATGGTTCTGCTGCAGCCAGGTATGCTGGCTATGGATGGGAGAGGGAGGGAGCCCGAGCTGGAGCAGGGGTCAGCACAGCAATATAAGCATCATTGGTGTCAGTGGGAATAATAGTGCCCCATCATTGGTGTCACTAACACCAATGATGGGGCACTATTCCTCCCACTGATACCAATGATGGGGCACTATTCCTCCCACTGACACCAATGATGGGGCACAATTCCTCCAACACTGACACTAATGATGGGGCACTATTCCTCCCACTGACACCAATGATGGGGCACAATTCCTCCAACACTGACACTAATGATTGGGGCACAATTCCTCCAACACTGACACTAATGATGGGGCACCAACTTTGGTGTCAGTGGGAGGAATAGTGCCCCATCATTGGTGTCAGTGGGAGGAATAGTGTCCTATCATTGCTGTCAGTGGGAGGAATAGTGTCCCACCATTGGTGCCAGTGAGAGGAACAGTGCCCCATCATTAGTGTCATTGACCAAATATAGCCATGTGGTCATTGAGTCAATGATATCACCAGCATCCCTGCCCCTTTGTTACATATGGCTGCAGAATGTTTAACTCCATGACTATAGCTGATTTGGAACGGTTATCTGCTGTCATGTAACAGTTTGCCATGGGTTCAGACCAAACTCAGTTCAACCCAAACATTAACTCATCCACAAGAATAATTATAGTGGGATTTTTCTCAGGTAGAAGCACAGTTGCTGTGAAGAAGGTAATAAAGGGAAATTGTAAGCAGACCGTTCTCTGGCAGTGTGCGTGTGCATGCGCTACATCTCATAAGCTGCCTCCTGGGTAGTGATAAGCTAAACTGCCCTGGGTTCAGTTCAAGCAGGGTTTGGCAAACTTCAAAGCAGTTCAGTTGCCAAACTCCAATCCCACTGAAATCAGTGGGAGGCAAATCTATCAAATTAAAAATGCCCATTTTCTGGGCTAATAGGCAAGGGGTTGTCAAAAATTAGTGTGGGGGTGAGCACTGCCCTGGGAATGCATTTTTTTTTAATTAATTCAGCAATGAGCAGTGATTTTTTTTTCTTATGTGCTTAAAATGAGACATTAAAAATGTAAATTTTTTTTAAATAACATGCCTCTGTGAATCCCTGTGTTGTACAGAATGTGCTGCAGTAGCACTGACATTTTCAAAAGAAAAAGGTATTTAACATTACTGGCAAATGACAAGTCATTGACATTTTTTGGGTACGCTGGCACCATGTGTGGTGTGAGTGTGCTGGGCGTCCATTCCAGCGCAATCCCATTGCAGGGAAAGGCAAAATGCCTTGTCCCTATGTGCCTGGTTCACACCGCTGCGTTGCAGGCAATCCACCTCCAGGCCCAGGGATGTGGGTGGGGTGGGGGTTCAAACAGGGACATGAGAGGTCTCGGCCAGGAGCAGTAATTTGGCTGAGCTTTGTAACCATTTTACAGGATGTGCCTGAATAAGGAACTTTATAGTGGGATGGGATCACCAGGAATTCTTACTATAAAAGCTTCAGAAATGCAGTTATTGAGAATGACTTTTGAAATCATTGTATAAGATTTTACTGATTGGGTTTACATCTTTTATACAATGGTGGTTCAGTTCTGTGACAGTTGTATAGTGCATTCAGTGGTATATCTACCGCAAGGCAAACAGGGCATTTTCCCTGGGTGGAACTTTCCATCAGTAAAATCACACAACCTCCTAACTCTGATGCTGGCAGAAGTAATACAGTAATCTGTTACTATTTAAACAGACAGGTCGCTGAATCCAGCTTCTGACAAGATATGTCAAAATGTGCAGTGGGCTTCCTCACTATGCCAATAGAGCAGGCTGTGATTGTATTTTTTTGTTTCTTTGTATTTACAAAACTTGTATATAGTTTAGGTAAGTGTTAATAGTGAAATATGTAAGTACTAAGTTCTACCTCAGATAAGATCATCTAATTTTATTCATCACAGCAGTGTCACTATCCTTAGCAGCCATGAGTGACAGGCGAAAAGGCTAAGCGGAGCAGGGTACAGGAAAAATGCCAAAATAAGGTGAGAAAAACAAACCAGGGAGATTGAAGAGACAGGACAAAATCGCTCTTTTTTTCACCAAACCTGTGACCTCTTCTAGTACTGAAAAGGGTGGGGAGGTGACTGAAGATTTAACTGGTGACATTTGTGAAACTGATGTAGTTGCTTCATGCAGTTATGACATTTTGGAGGATGCCAGTAGTATTATTAGTGAAAATGAGACTTCTAAATCTGGTGGAGGACCGTTGAGTTCAAGAGAATTTGATGACCTTCTGCACTAGTGAGCTCTGACTCTGCTGAATGGTTTTAAATGAATATAGCCAAAACCATTGGTTAAACATGGAATAATTCAAAATGACAATCGGGACTTCACATTAGAAGGCTGTATGCCGACACCTTTAGGATGCTAAAGAGACACCTGTTTAAAAAAGAAAACTTTAATAGTGAGAAACAAAAAAGGAGCTATTTGGTTTACTCCAAAAGCAAAGGAGTAGTGTTTTGTGCTCCATGCCGTTTGTTTGGTGGCAAGTCCCAGTTATCAATGAGTGGCTTCAATGACTGGAAAAATGGCACAGCTCGATTAACGAACACAAGTGTTCAGCTGAACACAAATCCTGTATGCTCTCTTTAAAATTAAGAGCATGTACATTGGGGAGAATTGATGAAAGTCTTGCAGCGTTTGGATCAAATCCAATATTGGAGAAATGTGTTAAAAATAGTTGTTGCTGCGGTTAAGGCTCCTGTTACTCGAGGACTTGCTTTCAGAGGGAAAGATGACCGTTTTGGTTCCACACACAATGGAAACTACATGATGATGTTTGAATTTCTTTCAGAATTTGACCCGTCGTTTTTAGTTGAACACATTGTCCGTTATGGCAATGCAGGAAAAGGAACCACATCTTACCTCTCATTTGCTACTTGTGAGATTTTTATTCATCTTATGGCTGATACTGTTACCAAGCAGATAGTTAAGGAGACAAAGGCAGTGAAATATTATTCTATCATTGTGATTCAACACCGGATAGTACCCACATCGATCAGTTGGCCTTTGTCTTAAGGTATGTCAAGGAAGATAGCTTACCAGTTGAGCGCTTTCTGCAATTAATTTCAAATCCTGGACATAAACCGGAACAACTGGCTGAAGTGGTCTTTACCACTCTTAAGTCATATGATCTTGATATTGCCAACTGTCGTGGTCAGTCATATCATAATGCAAGCAACATGTCCGGTCATTATAGAGCAGGGGTGTCAAGTTGTTGCAAAACTACAAGTCCCATCATGCCTCTGTCTTTGGGAGTCATGCTTGTAACTGTCAATCTTGCAATGCCTCATGGGACTTGTAGTTTGGCAACAGCTGGAGGGCCACCAGTTTGACACCCATGTTATAGAGGATTGCAAGCCCGAATTCTGGAAAGAAACCCACTCGCTGTTTATGTTCCATGCTCTGCACACTCATTAAATCTAGTAGGGAAGCATGCTGCTGAAAGTTGCACTGTAGCCTGCTCATTTTTCTGTCTCTTACAATACCTTTACAATTTTTTTACTGCTTCTACTCACAGATGGGAGATTTTACAAGAACACTTATCATCTGTGCCCAATACTCTATCATTAAAGAGATTATCTGATACACGGTGGTCAGCCAGAGAAGATGCTTGTCGGAGCTTAAATCTGAATTGGTCTCAAGTAGTCCAAGCCTTAACAACAATTAAGGAAAATGCCACAGAGGCACTAGGAGCGTGCAAGGAAGCTGAAAGTCTACTGAATAAAATACGTTTGGAGACTGCACTTATGAGTGGTTTGTGGGTACTATTCTACAAAGATTTGGTGCAGTTAGTAAAATAACTCCAAAGCATTGACATTGATGTTGGAATTGTATTGGAACTGTATGAATCACTGATTCAGTTTGTTCATGACACCAGAGAAATGTTCACGACTTATGAAGATACAGCAATGGAAAAATCAACTGTCAAGGACTATGAGATCAAGAGGAAAGGTATACAATCAAGAAAATTTCAGCAACTTCCAGCAAGACACAAGCAGAGGAAGCTCGAGAAAATTTCCGGATAAACACCTTTTATTTAATTTGTGACAACCTAGTTGCTGACCTCAAAAGAAGAAAAACTGCATATGACTCTTTCTTTAGAAATTTTTAATTCATTACAGACCTATCAAAAATAGAGCCATCAGCAATATCACAGCATGCAAGTCACCTTTGTAATTTCTACAGCAAAGACTTGGAACAGAGTGTTTTGGTGATGAGTGCCTCCACTTTCGTTCATACCTCATAGGTTCTTCTGCAGAACATACCTCTGTTCTAGCTATGTCCTGAATGATAAGAGAGAGAGGATTGCAAAGTATATATCCAAATGTGGACATTGCTCTAAGAATGTTTTTGTGCACAGCAGCAAGTAACTGCTCAGCTGAGCGTTCTTTTTCAACTTTGAAGCGCGGGAAAAAACTACTTGCGATCCAGAATGGGAGAGGAAAGGTTGAACTCCCTGACTGTGTGGCAATTGAGTCTGAACTCCCAAAATCTTTGGACTATGATGAGCTTATCAACAGCTTTGCCACACAGAGAGTTCGTCGAAAGTCACTTTAATTTACAAGTGTGAATTAGATAAACTAAAGGTTATATGTGGAATGACGTTCAACAGTTTCCACTTATTTAAGTTATAATACTTTGTTTATATGTTTTATTTATTTGGCTCTGAAATAGGGGGAGGGCCCTTGAAAGCGCTCAGCCATGTGGCTTTTGGTGTCCAGCATGATTCTGTCAGATAAAGGAGCATAGGATTCTGACAGGCACGACCAAAGAGAGGCACAGGACAATGTTTATTAAAAGAAAGCAAGTGCCTTTGTATATGAGGCTACAAGTTGCATTTAAGTTAAAATATTTATATATTTGTTTACTTAAAATAAAGTGAAAATGGTTGAATTTACACTTTTCATTATTTTATATAAATATCTCTTAAAATATATATATACACCATTTGTAATGGTAAATAAAACAACAAGTATATGCACTCGTTATCCACTTTTAATGTACAGAGAAGAAGAGGCGGAGCTCTAATAGGAAGAGGTGGAGACTGAAGAGGAAGGGGTGGCGTTTACAGATGAAGGAGTGGATCTTAAACAGGAAGGGGTGAGGAAAATTTAGATGCGGGGGGGGTGCCCAATTTTAGTCTTGCCTAGGGCAGCACAAAACCACAATACAACACTGATTACAGGGGGTACCTTCTATTTGACTTGTATCTTAGTACTTCTGGTAAAATCAGTGAGCTAATCACACAAGCATGAAATGACATTTCTGGGGAAGTTCTGTACACCAACTGTGTATGGAATGCCTCCAGGTTGCCATATTACATTAAATATTACAGAAAATTGGAGCAACTGCATATTGGAAGGAACGGTCACTTCTAATAACATTCAATTACAATATAGCCTGTGTAGCGATTGTATCTGCTATATTATTTTTT